TCGTTAATATCGCTTATCAGTTTGAGCCCGATTGAGAAGCAGAGGATATTAGTGAAGAGGATCGCGCAGAACCTGTGCAAGCACGGGTCTTAATGGTATGTTTTTTGTTTGTTGTTGTCTCATACATTTAGATACGCTGTTATTTGTAAATGCTACTGCTTCTGTTAGCTTTTAATATGCAGTTTTATCCTGATTAAAGCTTTAAAGGGGTCATATGATGTTGCTAAAAAGAACATGCAACTTTACAGATCTTCTTTATGCACTAAGAGCTTGTAACACTCCAAAGAGAAAGGAAAAATTGAAATCGCATCATATGACCCCTTTAATACAGTACGGCAACCACACGCGCGTCCATGTATACCATGTATATCGCTTCTCATAGCTATGTGAAAATAAGTGTATAAATGGAACAGTTCATTGTTGTAGCTGAGCTGATGATCTGAATGAGAGAGAGAGAGAGAGAGAGAGAGATGCAGAGCGTGTGCAGAGCAGGGCGACACGAGGAACAGGATTGAGAACCACTGCTTTAGAACATTGATTTTGAAACTTGTGAATCCATTAGAATCTTAGAAGACAGAATTGCGATTCATATATGAATAGATTTTTATGTGCACCCCTAGTTTTCTCTTCCTCTTCTCTAAAGCAGCACAACATGACCTCGCCCCCTTTGTTGCATGTTCCTGGGGGCAGGGTTTATCTGGGTTCGTGACGTAACGAACCCGGGAAGTAGCTCGTTGTAGTCCCAACGAGCGGTTTTTGTAGGCATTAAACGGCCAGAATTTTAAAAGACGATATCTCCGTTTGCACTGAGCTTTCAGCGCCGCAACTTTGCAGATATTGTTTATGCTCAAACAGCAACATTAAACACTAACTAACGTTAAAAAAGTGAAATCGCAATCAACCACCCCTAAACTAAACGAACTAAAACTAAAACCATTAAAAAATATTAACTGAAATAAAATAACTTCTAATTTTCTAAAATTACACCAGACTGAATATTGTTTGGCAGCACTGACAGTTAATTCGCATGTGATGGATTTCAGATGGAGGAATGGAAGATATTTCCTGTCAGTGCATCTGCTGATCTGATTGACATTTTCATAATCTTGTTGAATAACAATCTCTTTACACATTAGTAAACCTGATTCCATATTGATTGGCACTAGGATACAACACAAAGCAGCTGAATCAAACTTATGTGTTTTATAATGAGGAATGCTTCACCCAAAACAATTCTGAGATGCCTTCAGACCTTATTACATGTGACAACCAAGACAGAGAGACTGGGCCAGAGGCTGAGAGCTGGGAAGAGACACTGAGCCAAGGTCAGGGTCCTCAGGCCTGTTTGAGAGCACAGATTTGATGGAGATAGTGCTTTCCCCCCTCCAAATATTCTCTGTAGAGAAAGACTCATCACACACACATGGCTTGAGAACTGCAGGGAATTTGACATTTTCACCATGAAAAATGAGCAACGGTAAAAGATCTGAAACTGTGACCCATCACATTGAACTGAGGCCATGTGTTTAAAATCCTGCTCCAGGGGAACTGCATGACTCATGCATGCAAATTGAACTCATTGATTTTAAGAGATTGAACCTAATAAACAATAGACACATGTAATGTGGACAGCAGACACACTAAAACTTCACCATCATAAGGAATAAAAGTCCCCCCCAAAAGTCCCCCCTGTTAGTAGCAGGTCTATAATGTGTAGGGTATAGTTTCTATAATTTGAATTTATTCTATGTTGCATTTTATTCTGTAAGTGTTTACCAATTTTAAATAAATTGTTTAAAAATAAATTGGGATTTTGTGGGATGAAATAAAATAACATAAACAATAAAATAAAATCATACAGAATTTAAAACAAAAAAATTAAATACATACTTACCTTTTTCCCTGTAGAGGGTACACACACAAAAAAAATTGCTAGCAAATTGCACTAATAATCACAAAGAAATGGCAAGTATTGCACTGAATTAAACATGAAATTCAGAAGAAGAAGAAAACGAAATAGTATTTTCTTGTGGAAAAAAATACTCCAATAATCTTTGTTTTATTTACAATATCGAAAACTCTTTTTTTTTACAGTGGGGTTGTAACAGACATCACTCTTTGCATTTAATTTACTCAATTTAGGGGTCTGAAATCTACAACTTAAACATTTTAAGTTGTAGATTTCAAAACAACTTTAATGTGTAGCAGGCAAATATGGAAATATTATATCATATTTTGAAACGCATACCTAAAAAAATACTGTGACAGGAGTTCAAATGTTACACATTTATGTTCTTGGGTAGATTTAAAACACGCATAAACAACTATCTCACTTTCCATCTTCCGGATTTTGGCATCTTTTCATTTGATGCAGCAAGCGTGCTTCCTGTTTCCTTCCCATCGTGCTTTTGATGGCGGAATTATGACGGATCATTAATTTTGCCTGTCGCAAAAGGGGCTCGATGTTCTCACGCAATGATATCATAACGTCATTGACGTAGACGACGATAATAAATAATGAATTTGCTTGCTTTTCACGTGGAGGCAGCGTCTGAATAAGTTAACCCCTACGTTACTACACGAGCGTACGTCCCTTTTTGCAGCATCAGTGAAGTATCCCTCCCTACGACGACCCATAATCCCTACAATGATGATTTTTTCCCTTTCAGTGCTGCGGTAAGTTATGTTAAATCATTGGTAGTGTTTATGATGAGAATTATATGATACGCAAACGGAAATGCCTCCTGCTTGTTATCCACCTGCCTTTGGACTACGCCACCGTGTCGCGATGCTGTGAGTCGCAGCACCGCACATCAGCATCGGCACAGCTGGACAGCGGCAGCCTGGGAGGTAAGTGTTGACCGAACCAGGACAGAAGTCTGGGTAAGGATGTACCTTAGACCTCATTAGACTATTTCAGACCAAATCAGAATCATATATGAACTAATTACAGTTTACAGGCACAAAGAAGCAGTGTATGATTATTATTATTTTTGGTTAAGTGACGACCAAATTAATCTGTGTTTTAAAGCAACTCTTTTGGGATAACGACGATATGTTATTGTAATTCACTTTATTTGAAAGAGACGTTGACTCGTTAGTGATTATATTTAAACCACTGCATGATGTTTCAAAAAGAAACGAAGAACGAGAAGAAAATAAACCTTTTGTTGTAGTATCAGCTGGCTGTGTTTCACGGGAGGGGCGGTGCGAGATCGCTATCAAGTGAATGTCTACATTTCAATAACATGCTTATTATGGAATAGAAAGGCGTATCTACATTATTAATGACTGGGGTTTTTAGATAAGCAATGGTTTCTTTTGATTACACCGCCTGTGAATGTGTCTGTAGCGGAGCTCTAGGCAGTGAAACGAGGTTAATCTCCAATGACATGATGGCAGTTACTCATGGATGCTGCTTTGTTTATAAACGGGCGTGTAAAAATACAGCGGCGCTGACCATAGTGCTTAAACATACACGTCCTGATTTATACAATATCAAGTTGTTTAATATACTATTAGACTACTTCTTACAAAAGTAGTTGGTAAGGAGACTTTTATCCTGTTTGATCGAAAGAGTTGTGATCTCTCTATTCTTTGGTATAGGAATTAGTTGTATAGAGTTTGATGTTTGCCACCTCCATAGAAGTGGTTTGATCATTAGTCGTTTTGCTTGTGAATGGTCTTTAAACAGTTAAAAAGAATAAGAAATTATTGCCATTCATGTTGATCCATTATATTAGGTTATTAGGTCTCTGCTGTTTTATCTTTATGTATTTGTTTGTCTTATTGATTGTTTTTTATTGAGCTTATTTATTCTGATTTATTGAGCTGCGTTGTACGCTCATGTTTTTATTACACTGCAACCCACCGTATTTTTTATGTACTGTATTATACTGAATCATATTCATTTTATTCTTCTGCACAAGGCAGAAGAGAATGTTAATGTTAGCAGTACTAATATAATACACTTTAACCAGCATAAAATGTAACATTAATACAGCAATGTGCATAACTGATAACAGAAATAAAAAGAATAATTTCTTATTTCAGTGAAAGATAATCAAATGTTATACATCAAGCAGGGACTTCTAGGTAACTTTTTTTCTTATTGCACAGCATGGAACTTACCTATTATAAAAGTACAAATAAGGTGTTCTAAAAGGTACTTCTAAAAAACAATCATATGTACAGTGTTTTACAGCAAAATACATGTACTGTCCTTTTTAATTAAATTAATGTAATGTAATTCATGTAATTTTTGTACTTTTAAAATTCTGAACATTTTTACATTGTAGTTTTGACAAATTTCCAAATGAGTGGACAATACAGATTCTCCAAAAAAAAAAAAAACTACATGCTTATAATGTGCTTTTTCAGCTCTGACTCATGGGCATGACTTGCTTTTTTTTCCCTCAATGAGCCACACTAGTGCAGGCTCCCATTAAGCTACCACCACCATTGTGATGCCACTCGTACTGTTTGCGCACACGCTGTAATACAATTAAAGGCTTTCTGTCAATTAGGACCACCTGCAGCACTGCATGGCTAATGATAGTGAGCATGAGACATAATTCAATGTGGACAGCTGAGCTCTATACATAAATAAATACCCATAATTTCATTATAAAGACCAAAATGCAATCTTTAAAGTGGATTATTTATAGTGTAAAGTGCCTGGCCCCAATTCATGACTGTTTTTGTATTGTATGAAAGTACATTGGTAATTTGCTTTTATTTAATCGGTTGTATTATTGTATATATAAACCATTGCCTTTGCAGTGTTTGTTGTTAATTAATGACCTCTGACCAATTAAAGGAATACTTCACCTAAAAATGAACTATAAATGAACTCAGGCCATCCAAGATGTAGATAGGTTTGTTTCTTCATCGGAACAGAATTGTGGAAATTTAGCATTACATCACTTGCTCATCAATGGATCCTCTGCAGTGAATGGGTGCCATCAGAATGAGTGTCTTATGAAGCGAAATGCTGCGTGTTTGTAAGAAATAAATGTATCATTAAGGTGTTTAATGATATTAATCTTTTAACTGTTGCTTCCGGCTAAAATACAAGCCCCCTATTGCTTTCTCTAATGAAAAAGTTGTCTTGTCTGAATCAGAGGAGAAATATGCACAGATCAAGCACCCTTTACAAGCAAAAAAATAGTCAGATACAGTTCTAAACAAATATGTTGGTGTATTTTGATGTGAGAGGACAACAGGAGATGGACTGTTTCACTGGAGGAAGCGTTATTATTGATTATGGACTCACATTTTGTCTAGAAGCGATGGGTTAAAGTTAAAACACCTTAATGATGGATTTATTTCTTACAAACACATAGGTTTTTGCTTTACAAGACATCAATTAGTGAACTGGGGTTGTGTGGATTACTTGTGGATTATTGTGATGTTTTTATCAGCTGTTTGGACTCTCATTCTGACGGCACCCATTCACTACAGAGGATTCACTGGTGAGCAAGTGATGTAATGCTAAATTGCTTCTCCAAATCTGTTCCGATAAAGAAACAGACTCATATACATCTTAGATGGCCTGAGGGTGAGCACTTTTTCAGCAAATTTTCATTTTTGGGTGAACTATTCCTTCAATACCATATTGTTCCTATGTCAAGCATTTAGCAATATCATGCGGCAAAAACGGTAGTTTTAGAGTGCTGTAGTCAAATATTTGGTTGAGTTTGGCTGCGACTGTGCCCTGTTACTTAGAGATGTGAATTGTAATAGGGGAGAGAGGGAGCAATAAATCTGATGGCCTGAAATGGTGTTAGTGTTCATGCCAGGCAAATTCACTCCACTCAGCAGCCAGTTTATGTAACAGTGCAGCGGCCTGGAGGAGGAGGAGGGGAGAGTAGAGCAGGGAAGGCAAGAAGAAGGGAGGAGTTGCACTATACTGCCCTGAGGAAAGATCTGACTTGTGGATGAAGACAAGTTTTTGCATTTAAACAGGTCTTCTGTTTGCACACATTTGTTTTTTGGGTGAGATGAGAGGTGAATTTTTAGATGATGCTTGTATGTTTATTCATACCAAAAAGAGAAATTCAAGAAGAAATTCAACAAAGCATTACTTTACATAAGTGGGTTATCTATCTATCAATCTATCTATCCTTGATGCTCAGTGTTAGGTCAGTAAGATTTTTTTTCAATGAAAAAGTAATACTTTTTTTCCCAAAAAGGATGCATTTTTAACATTGATAATAATACGAAGTGTTTCTTGAGCACCAAATCAGCATATTAAAATGATTTCTGAAGGGTCATTTGACACTAAAGACTTTTTAATTGTTATAATATTTTGCGGTTTTACAATATTGTTTTACTGTATTTTGATCAAATGCAGCATGAGACTTCTTTTAAAAATATGTATGATAAAAATCTTACCAATGGCAAACTTTTGAATTCATATTCTTATTTATATTGTGATGAGCGTCCCGAAGCTTCATCACCGTCGCCCTGGAAACAAGCGATGAGCACCTGGCCATCATCATCAAAGGCTGATCGGTCACAGCTGCGACTCATCAGGCGGCGGCCACATAAGCCATGCAAGCCCTGCCATCTAGGAGATTCCTCCATGAGACTGAGCACTAACTCGCCCTCTCATTTTCCCCACAGAAAGCAGCGTGTGACCGACCAGCCCCACAGGAGCACTGCACGGACCCTCTGCACTGGGAAGACGGAAGAGAGCACTCACGGCACCGGAGCACCTACCTGGACCTTTCTCACTAGCACCCCTCACCCCAATAAATCCACCCTCCGGGGTATTGATTGAGATTTCTTGTCGTGTGATTCTTCACCCCGTTACAATATTATCAAATTTGTTGTTGATCCCCATTCTTAACTCCAAACAAAGCAGCAGTAAATGAATTTTGGCTTTCAGAAGTGTTGGATTTATAATATGAATTTAAAATATTCTAATACATTATGCACTCTTCCACCTGAATATGCATAATTACATTTAAGATATGTCTGTAATTCCAAACAAGGACTGATATCCTAATCCTGGTATTTTAAAACAGTAAATAAACTGTCTTGAAGACAGCCTGTTGAACAGTCTCTGTTTTTCCCTCTGCCAAGGTGTATATTGGCAGGGCTGTACAATTAAAAAATACATGCAGTCTGAAGCCTTCTACATAATTTGAGCAGTGCAGTTCTGCCCACCATTTCTACACACCATCTGCTGCAGCCGTAGCTCTGCTGTGTTTTGCTGTATCTTGTACTGTCAGGTTAAAGTAAAAAGCTGTAGAATAGTAGAGTGGAAGATCTCAGTTTCTTAATCTGAATGCAGATAGCAGCAGTGTTACACAAGGTGAAATGATGCAAGTGAGAAGGCTTTAATTGACTTGTAAATTCACCCTGTTATTAGCCAGAGTGATTAAAGTGCAGAATTATGTAGTGTGAATGGAAGGTGAGTAGTTGGGGTGTCAGGTTCTCATCTGGAACTGTAGGTTCAAATCTATGAAAATCTATGTTCTAGCAGCGATTTAAAATAAAACTAGATGAAGAAAAGCTTGTCAGGATTTCCTGAAATTGCATAACAAGTTTGAAAGTTATATTGGTGTTATGTTGATTGGATTGAAATATTCATAGATATCATGGTCAATATCTTAATGATAAAAGAGACCAGAATTTGAGCATTAGCATTGGAAGCAGCTCTATATTAAATGTGTTTAACCATATGACAGACTGAATGTTGTATTTGAATGGACCATGTGACAGTGTGTTAGAGCTACATAAAAATGTCCTGAATTTTTTATCAGGATGTGAATAGACCAGGTCCTAAAGGTTTATTTAGGGTGTAGTGATGGCGTATGTGTTTTTGAATAAAATGTTGCTGT